TTTTTTTTTTTTTTTTTTTTTTTTTACTAAGCTCTTTTTTCTAATACTTCTTTAGGTTTAAATGCAATAGTGTTAGGATTGAGGCAAAACATTCTGTTGACTAGTATAGCAAAGCTGGTGTCATTAATATTTGCGTCCTATTGTAGAAAATGAGATTTCATTGACATCTTTTGTCTCCTCTGCTTATTTTTAGTTCTTACATATAATAATGCTATTCAGTCTTGCCAGAAAGCATATTATGTGGGGGAGAGGTGTAAAAGGTACTTGTTTATTGACAAGGCTAAGCTTTTCAGATTTATAGTGTGCATAAGAAACACATGGCTATATTGGATGATAGTCTGATCATACCATGTTCCACCCAACAAATTATTCCTGAGCAAAACGTACGTTAACCTGTGCTTGAATGAAACTTTTAGTCCAGTGTTTCTCAACCTTGGAAACTTTAAGATATGTGGACTTCAACTCCCAGCCAATTCTGGGAGTTGAAGTCCACACATCTTTAAAGTTGCTAAGGTTGAGAAACACTGGACTAGTTTCTAAAAGCATGCTGGTACTAGTAAATTTAATTGTGAAATTGCAGAGTGAAAATCATGTCTATCATGTTTCACGTTTACTTAGAATCCTGGTCAGTTTCACTTCTCAATTGTGGAAAAGTTTGTTTTGTAGGTTGTGTGCATAAGACACAGTAGCAAATCTATAATGTTTGGAATGAAACAGGAAAGAGGAATGCCTGCTCCCTATATTGCCAGCCACTGAAATGGAGTGATAAATGCTCCTTGCTTCCAAATGTGGACAGACTTGAGCAACCCCAAGTTTGTCAGGCGGAGGATGAAAGTGATCCTTGAAAAAAATGCTTGTAGCACCAGAGGTTTAATTCGGATAACTTTTTTTTCCCCCTTCTTATGGACTGAAATGTTTTCTTACTCGGGGTTATCTTATTGTAGGTGACACATTATAAACAATATCCACCTAATACAAGCAAAGTTTATTCCTACTTTGAATGTCGTGAAAAGAAGACGGAGAACTCCAAATTAAGGAAGGTCAAATATGAGGAAACAGTTTTTTACGGGTTGCAGTACATACTTAATAAATACTTACAAGGTATTTTTTTTTCCTAGATTTTCAAATACCACATTTCCATATTGTCACTGTCATTCCCTGTTGTCATTTCTCTACTGCTTTTTGTGGAGTAAGAATAACTTTTGAAATGTCTTAAGTTGGACTTGTATTAAGGATAAATCATAAAAGAATCCTTGAATTGTCATACGCACTGCAATTATTTTATTCTGAATTAATTGCTTATATAAATATAGGATCTGGGTTCAACTATGTCTTAGCTTTTTAATGTTTTCACTCTTATAATAACAGTTCTTAAAGTTTGAGGAAGAGCGAAGGCTCTTAACCAGATATATTAAATTTTCATACAGACAGCACACACACACTTTCTGTGTTTAAGTTATATCATGCTATACTGTAGTCGGCTTTCAGGGGAACAGTTCATCATGTTCAGCTACTGAAATATTTGAGAAACAGTGAACCAAGCTACTTTTCATGAGGTTCAGTTATATATATTTTGAAGGTAAAATGTTTTATGCAAAAGTGCAAATTCATAATACTTACAGTGTGATATCTTGACATTTATGTTTAAAAATTAGTTTTGATCGTTTCCAAATTCCAGTTTCTATTCAAGTCAAGTTTTGTTGGAACAATGCTTATTTTATTATATTGACTTTAAGACTTAAGTGGTAAAGTGAATTTGTGTAAAGGATGAAGGCTATAAATATCTGATAAATAAAATATTACTGTTATACTTCCTTTTGCTGAAATATAGCATGGGAATGTAGATGCTTGAAGATTCCAATCTCAAGAGGATGTTTTTTCATCAAACCTTAAAAGAAGGCATGTTTGAACTCCATCAAACTGTACTTTTTGTGGCCAATCTCCAGTAATCCGTGTTTCAGCTTGAGTGTGTGGTAGAATCTGTTCCAACTATTTCTGGATCAGGCAGATTACAAAATCAATTTTAATTGAACTTCAGCCCTAGCTATAGAACAGAGATCATTTGCATCACTTTAGTGGATGATCTGTGCCAGGATCAACACTGGGGAAAGTTCCTTATCAGTTCAGTTAGATTTCTCTGTAGCTATTTGACTAGATGCCTGGCTGAGATGGAGCTTGGAGGCACCAAAAATTTCCCTTCATCCCTAGAAAGTTCCAGAAAGTAACACTGAAGGACTCCTGTTCAGCATCTTATCAGTTGTCCATGGTGTATTCTAGGGTTCTTTCATATCTCCTATACAGTACTATTTAACATTTAAACTACACTACCAGTTGAGGTTATTCAGAATCTGGGAATTTATTATCACCCATGATGCTATTAACACCCAATTATTATGTACCCAGTTAAGTTATTTGGATTCTGAATCAGTGATAATTGCATTGATGCAATGAATATGATTCAATACATTGAAGATTGTTCCTAAGTAGTAGAAAGGAAGAGCAGCCTTTCTTGGATATATTGTACTCTCTTAGAAAATGGTGGTGGATGGTTCAGATGTACATCTGAATTCATCTTAAATTTGGATGTCATGCATGCTTCTTCAAACTAAGATAAATGTGCTAAGTGCATTTATTTCTGAAGCTGGCCAACCTGGCCTTAATTACATCTTGTTTGAACTACTGAAAAGCCTTCGAAAAGGGTCTTGTAACCTTAGCTAGATGAAAATACGTCTAGGTCACTATGTGTAGAATCTGACTTGTATGTTACAACAGTTTCATGGATTACAGTTCTGTTTCTGGGCATAGTTAGGATTTTGTGCCAAGGTAACTAAATGGGCATATGTGCTTGCCCAAGTTTGAAGTTTTTCAGCAGGAGATATCTTTATCTGCTCCAATAACTGAAGTGTGCTTGGAAGAGATTCAAAAAAGACTCTTCTTAGGGGTGGTTTCCAAGTTCTAGAAATTCTTGTTTTTTTTCTGACTAACCTGCCCACAGATATTTTTATTTAGCCCTTCAGCCCTATAAGCTAGCTATTATGGTCACTCTAAATCAGTGTTTCTCAGCCTTGGCAACTTGAAGATGGGTGGACTTTAACTCCCAGAATTCCTCAGCCAGCCGTGCTGGCTGGGGAATTTTGGGAGTTGAAGTCCACCCATCTTCAAGTTGTCATGGTTGAGAAACACTGCTCTAAGTGATGTACACAGTTTAATAGTTAAATTGTTTTTGTTAATGTATATTTTACTGTTAGTTGCCTTGAGCATCAATTGGGAATGAATACATCTAAGAAAATGTTCCTCAAATACAAAAACCTGGACAAATAGGAGTTGCTGTCAATTGTTTGTTAAAAAGTGAATGGGGCTTCTTGATTTATCACAGTGGCTTCTCCAAAAGCAGCAGTAGTAGAAGTAATAATATTTTTTTCAAAAAAAACCCGGGCTGAGAGGGTTGAGATATTGCAACGCAGCTGTCTTCTTTCAGATTATCATTTCCACATCAATTTCCATAAAACCAGTGTGCCTGAATCTGAAGAATAGTTTAAGATTGGGGTGTATTCCCACTTGTGAGTAATCATATAATAAATGGAGAGAAATCCACTGGCCATAATCCAGAATAACTGCATGCATTAGCCAGTTTCTTCTAGAACATAATAAGAGAGGTGGTGTAACCACCTTTTAGAGCAGATTCTCATGTCTTAAACTGCATTTCTTTGAGTATATAATACAGTTTAAATTGTTTCATAGGCAAAGTGGTAACCAAAGAGAAAATACAGGTAGCCAAAGAGGTGTATAAGGAACACTTTCAGGATGATGTCTTCAATGAAACGGGATGGAACTATATTCTTGAGGTAAAAGGAAATTGAGTTAATATTTGCATTTAGTAGAACATTGTGTACCTCTGCACTTACATACGCTTGTTGAAAAGGGGGTTGTGCATGAAACTGTCAGAAGTTATCTTTCAGTTTGATAGGGCTATTAGATGCTTATTTTTTAAAATGAAATAGAGTAAAGCAATGTACCTTTCACGTAGCAAATGCAAAGTTAAAGGTCAACTAGAAGGAATTTGCTTCTATGTAGAAAAATTTGGAGAGTTGAATGTGCTTGCCAATTGTTCATATGGAATATGCAATAACACTATCTAAAAGCTTTTTAATGTTTGTTCTGTGAGTAAAGATCTCTTCGTAATTTATATGTGACTTACAAGCATGGAAAGTTAGTTCTGTCTCAAATATTATAGTCCTTAAAATCAGATGTTTTGAATTTTTTCCTGGTATGTCACAACCTATTTATTTCTTCTTATGGAAGCTTGCCTTCCTTGGGGAAATCATTATTTTGTTTCCGAAGTAGCATTCTGTTAATACCCAAGATACGTTGAATCTTGCTAACATGGTTAAAACTATAGCAAAGATTGTAATTGAAAAGATGACATTACTTTAGTCAGTGTTCTTTTAAGCAAGCCAGAGAAATCTGTAGCAGTATCTTTGGATATTTAAAAGCAGATAGATAAAAAGTATATATTTATATTAAAACCTGTTTTTCATCCAATGAAATAGATGGTGGTATTTGACTATTTTCCAAATCATTGCCTGTTTCTCTTTTATATGATAGAAATATGATGGCCATCTTCCTATTGAAATAAAGGCTGTTCCTGAGGGCTTTGTCATTCCAAGAGGAAATGTACTTTTCACTGTTGAAAACACTGATCCAAACTGTTACTGGCTTACAAACTGGATTGAGGTAAATAGTGTTGAATTTTAAATAAATAAATGGGAGCTGTGATGGAAGTGTAAAAAATTAGCCATAGTGTGTTGAAACTGGATTGAATGAAACCCTAACCCTAACCCCACCCTCAGAACTCTAGACCCTGGTCAATGAACAAAGTTGAGTTGAGGAAGATTTGTGACAAGATAAAAAGAAATACTATTTACAGCATGTAGTTATATTATGAAATTGCTTCCTTAGATTTAGTAAGACCAATTAGTTCCAACAGCTTTCTATGATTAAATCAATTCATAGAAGATATAGCCAGTAGGCTTCTCTTGCTGAGGAACAAGTGAGTTCTTTTGTACTCATATCCTGCTTCTGAACTGACATCTAGGTTCCCACTGTAGGAACAGAATTCTGGATAGATAGGCCAAAGTCCAGCCAGCAGAAGTATGATAATCTGTAGATATACGTGATTACCATGTACCATATCTAACTTTCAGTGCTGTGTTGTAGTTCCCGTTCTTCATTACATTTCAGTTTTTATTTTCAGTCTGCTTTAGAGTTGGAATCTTCTCTTTTATTTATGGCGTATGTTATCTTTTACTAGACTATTCTTGTTCAGTCGTGGTATCCAATCACAGTAGCCACAAACTCCAGAGAACAAAAGAAGATATTGGCAAAATACTTGCTGGAAACCTCAGGCAGTTTAGAAGGACTGGAATACAAACTTCATGATTTCGGTTACAGAGGGGTCTCTTCACAAGAGGTAATGCTCATTTCATTCATTCATTCATTCATTCATTCATTCATTCATTCATTCATTCATTCATTTATATTTTTCTTTAAAACATTTGCCTGCCACTTCCCATTGAACATTCTCAAAGGGTTTACAATACAGTACAAACAATTAAGCACTTATTAAAGCAGTTGAATAAAGACATACATGAAAACATTGTATAAAATATACGAAGTGAAACAAATTATAGCACTGGGAATTAAAAGCTACAGGAAAAAGCTAAAACTATCACAGCAGCACTAACACATTGTTTAAAAATCTGGGAGAACAATAATGTGCTGAAAAGACAATAAACCTGGAACCAGGTGGACATCCTTGGGATAGACATTCCAAAGTCAGGGATCTACCACTGAAAGGATCTGTTCTCAAATAGTCATTTGCTGAACCTCAGGTTTTTAGAACAGCCTGTTTAAGGTGATCTTAGGTTATCGGTAGGAATGTAGGAGGGGAGGCATTTTTTCAGATGCTGTGGTATCAAGCTGTGAACACCTTTATACGTTAATGCTAGGGACTGGAAACTCTCTGAGAGCCAGTGAAGAGTATAAAGTTCATATCACCCAGTCGCCGTTAGTCCTCTTGCCATAGTATTTTGTAGGACTGAAGTTTCTGGATCATAAAGCTTATTTTTTAGTAGGAAGCGGTCTGACTATGACAAGGGGATAGATGTGAAATCCCCCACTTTCAGGTCCCTACAGGAAAAAAAAATTCCAGAATATGATTTGCCACCTGTTTTGGACCAATATCAAATTGAGACAGATCCATGCTGTCAAGGCAGCCATGAAGTCTGGAGCAACCCCATTCAAATCAAATCTTGCGAAACAAATATGCAGAAAGTTGGATCATAAACAGGAGTATTTAATGGAAAGTTAATTCTTCATCTGTATTTGATAAACTTTGAATACACAATGTTTCTTTTCTGTATAATACTAAGTTGTAGTAAAAAATGAATGGCACTTGTTATCTTAATGTATATTGCCTTTTACATGTGTATTGTAAAACTGGAGAAAGTGCTACTTAATTAGAGTAGACCCTACCATTCATTAAAGCAGAATGTTCTAGTAATAGTCATTTTGGATGAGCGTGCCTGCAATTCGAAATCATGTTTTCTCAGACTGCAGGAATAGGAGCTTCTGCACATTTGGTGAACTTCAAAGGAACTGATACTGTAGCAGGAATTGCTTTAATTAAGAAATATTATGGAACAAAAGACCCCGTTTCAGGTTATTCTGTTCCAGCTGCTGAACACAGGTAACTGTTTATTTTATTGACACTATTTATATAAGCAGCCTATTCTTCCTGTTATCCTCAGCAGGTGATAACATCAAGCGAATCTTAGGTTGATCTTGAGAAACCTAAGCAACATCAGATTTGGCTGGTACTGGAGTAGGACCATTGGAGAACAGTTTGGAATTTGAACTAACATCTCAGAAAAAGCTATGGCAAACTATTTCTGTATTGCCCCAAATCCAATATGGTAGCTATCAGGCATCACGTCATTGTTGAGGGAGACTAGTTTTTATTCTTCCTATGTTTGCAATCAGGTTTAGATTGGCTGAAGCCGTGGTCTGCTGCAAATATTACTACCACAACTACAGATGGCTATTTTATATACATATAAAGGTTATAAATGTATAAACCATTCATGCAACATGGTTGCAGTTTATTAGCAATTCTGATATCAACCAGTAACTTCTAGTAGTGTTCAGTTTATTTGCAGCTTGATTTGATGAGTTGAGTAACTTGCATATAAATTCATTAAAAAAGTAATGAAAGATTCAAGCGGTAGAATTAATTCATACTGGCATCTACATTTGTTTTTCTAGTTCCTTTTGGGAATCTATCAAGCTACTACAATTAATTTGTAATAAAAAAAATTCTCATTTCAAATGCATCAATACATTTTGTTATGCCCTGTTTTAGGATAATTTTTAGTAAAAAGCAGGCTAAGAATTGTTACAAATAGAGTGTTTCTCCATGGTTTCCTTGATTTAGGGTTCCTATGGTTCAGTGCTTTGGGGGAGGGCATTTGGATTGCTCAATATATGTCAGAGAAATGATGTGGCAATAAAATAATATAAAATTCGTACTTCTTGTTTCAGTTACAGATCATCTTGAGATCATTTTGTGCTTTTGCTTACAAATGTTCAAGCACCTGTGATTGCACTCTAGATAAAAGTTCAGTGCCATTGGTTAATACCATCAGAAGATGGGTCTCTTGTTACTGTTTAGTCAAAATGTATAACTCTTTAAAATTCATTTTTACATGCCCTCTACATGAAAGCATACATGTCTATTAGTTTTCTAATTAGGTTCATTTGGAAATTTTTATAAGTAGAGTCATCTTCATAAGTTCTTTTGGGAAATCCATACTATACTATAGAAATTGATGATTTAAGTATGATTAATCAATCTACAGGGTGAACTGTTTGAGATAGGCGCACAAGTAGTTCTCAACTTATGACCATTCGTTTAACGACCATTTGAAGTTATGACGGCACTGAAAAAGTGACTTACGACCAGTCCTCGCACTTATGACAATCACAGTGTCCCCACTGATTTGAGCACTTGGCATGTATTTACGACAGTTGCAATGTCCCGGGTCACATAATCACCATTTGTGACCTTCCCAGGGGACTTCTGACAAAGTCAGTGGGGGAAGCCAGATTCACTTAACCACAGTGGTTTGCTTAACGACTGTGGAAAAAATGGTGGTAAAATCTGGCATAACTCAATTAACGACCGCATCACTTAGCGTTGGAAGTTCTGGTCCCAATTGTGGTTGTAAGTCAAGGACTACCTATAGTGGAAAACTTCCATAAGGCAGTGAAGATTTTTAGCAGTTTCATATGAATGAAAACATTATCTAATGTTGCTTTAAGAAAACATTGCTGTTTGCTACCTAAAGAACTTTGGATTACAAACAAAAGTATAAAAAAAGGAAATAAGTATAATTATATCAGAATGAATTGCTGCATAATACATTGTTGTGAAGGAAAATGCAGTTGGACTAATGTACACCTCAATTTAATAAACATCTCTTGTTCTTCCAGTACTATAACAGCTTGGGGAAAAGACCATGAAAAAGATGCTTTCAAACATATTGTGACCCATTTTTCTTCAGTGCCTGTATCTGTGGTCAGCGACAGTTATGACATTTACAATGCTTGTGAAAAAATATGGGGTGAAGATTTAAGGCATTTAATTGAATCAAGAAGTGCAGAGGCTCCCCTCATTATTCGGCCAGATTCAGGAAATCCTCTTGACACTGTGCTAAAGGTAATGGCTCAGAATTATCCCAAGATTTTGAAATTGCATAGTAAAAATAATTGTTGCTAAATCAGCGTGTGCCACTTAGCTGCTTGAACCAGGCTCCTGGGTTCTTCAGCCCACCCACACATCCCACATAAAAGCTACACAAAATTAACCGAATACAATAGGTAGTGGTTTTGTTTGATTTCTGTCTTCAGGCGCCCGAGGCACTTTCTCCTCCATTTTTTGCCCACAGTTCTGTACATTGGGTTGAGTGAGAGCAATCTAAAAATGACCCAGTGAATTCCCAAAGCCAAGGTGAATTTTAACAGAAATAACACTTTATTTTATGTATGTGCCTCTTTAAAAGTTCATCATTTCATTTTACTGATATGAGGAAGAGCTCGATAAACAATCACAAATGTTTCAGGTACAGCTTGTATTCAGGAATGTAACTCCAACCCGTTTGTTTAAATTGGCACTGATTTCCCATAGACAGGTGCTGCATAACGTAAACACTTCCTGAAAATATATTGACAGATATATTTAATTCTCTGTATATCTATTCTGTCTTTCTAAGAAACGTATATGTCTTTTTAGAAAATCATCTTGAAAAACTAAACTGCGGCAGCCAAACCACAAACGTTAAAATGTAAAAACAAAACCACCTAAAACATCAAAAGCACATTCCCACCTTTATCTAATGCTGAAGACAGTCCTTACAGAAATGCTAGAAGGTGAAAGGACGAAATATATAATTAACATCATCTATGGGGTGACCTCTCCACCACCCCTATCCCCATGTAATATTATCAACTGTACCGGTCTTTTTATCCTAAATAAATAAGAATATCATCATTAGCGTTTAAAAAAATAAGTAAAGAACCCAGTTGTGAAATGTTGGTTGGCTTTTCCGTGTGGCTTCCACTTCTGCCTTAGAATGACTTAAGGCTCTGGTCTTTCTAATTTAATGTTCCTTATCTCTGTGGCAGAGAATTTACTAATTAGTTCTTGATATTCCTGGTGTTAAAAAGACTGATGGAGGGAACCTTGAGGACGAATAACATCTGGAGGCAAATATCTTTTTACACTCAGATCCATTGCACTTGCACATTTTTAGGTGTATCTGTTGTTGCATCTCCTGACAGATGCAGGTTAACATGAGTGGTCCTGAAAGAAGTGCCACAGAGCGAAGCCATATTCTACGTGCAAAGCATGCTTTATCACAACCCAGGGTTTCCTTCAAAGAATAACTTTAATTCAGTGACTCGGTTGGGATTTTTCTTTCTTTAGATCTTTTCAGTATATAACTTCTATTCTGAATTTGTTTGAATTTGCTATTTATTTATTTATTGTTATCCAGCGGGATTGATTGATTGATTGATTGATTGATTGATTGATTGATTGTTATCCACTGGGTTTATTTAATGGATGACTGATTGAATTGCTTAATATTTGTGTTGGGCTTTGTTTCTGTTTTTGTTTTGGTAGGTTTTGGAAATTTTAGGAAAGAAGTTCCCTATTGCAGAAAATGCAAAAGGTTATAAAGTGTTGCCACCTTACCTCAGAATTATTCAAGGAGACGGTGTGGATATCAACACATTGCAAGAGGTGCGGTTTTCTGATTAATCTGTAGATAGGTCCTTCTGTTACCTTTTAACATGAGTATTATTAAATGATTGTACCTTAATTTGTGGCTGTGTTCTCAAACTTGTCTATACAAAATGTATTTTCAAAGTCTGACAAATATTAAGTGGAAAAATATGTCATGTCTTAATAGCACAGCGTTAAAAAAGTTAATTTGCAGAGAGCAGCTGAAACAGCAGCTAACATTGCTCGTTACCTTTTTTCCCCTCCTGCACATTCCTTTTACTGGCAGTTTCCCCTTCTCTTTCAATTTTCACTTATTGCAAGTGCAGTTTTTTTGCAATCCAGGAGACCCCCAGCGGCTGTTGACATCTGACAAGATGCGTGCCATCCCACATTATCTTTCAGTTGGAACAAAAGCTGATGAGATCCCAGCGTGAATTCTTGCAAAATCTTACCACATCCTCTTTGCTCTAAATTACAGGAAGTAGAGTAGAGAGAAGCCAGAAAACTTGCAGACGCTGTTGAATGACCTTGGGGACAAAATGGTGCCACATGATGCCGTGCTGAAGGTCACGGTCTTAGCCTGTGATGCTTTTTGATGACCTTGTTCTATGTGTAACTTGACGTGTACGAAGTATCATTTAACCTTGAACAGACTCTGTTCAAAGGAAAACAGTGGTGTCTTCCTGTTGCTGTCTTTTAGCTGGGAAAAGAAGTTGCTTGCATTTTAAAACTTGTTCCTTGTAGTTTGGACTATGCGTACTAGAAGATAAGTAGCTTAGAATTGTCTTGCACAAACTGGCCTTTCCAGTTTGAATAACAACCACAGTGTGTGGCCGTTGGATATGTCTTGGGCCACCCAGTCAATTCCTTTGTCTTTTTTCAATTTATTTTTAAGCAGACGTACATTTTCTTTTTAAACCTTGGGCACCTACAGAACTTTCAGCCATCCTGCCTTTTTGTTACATAAAATTCTTCTTGGCCCTATGAGGATTCTTCACAGGAAAAAAGGAAAAAGCCACAGCAGCCACAAACTGGGATTTTCCTATTTTTCACCCAGCCAACCTCAAAAGGATTAAAAAGAAAGGCAGGGGCACTCCCAACATTTAGTGATTGATGTTGCCTCCACAGACTTTATTTGTGGTGATGACAAGAACTCTCCTTAAAATTCCGGAGGTGTCCGTGCCTTCCAAAATGCTGGTAGTCCTTGACTTACGACAATTGGGACTGGAATTTCCATTGCTAAGCAATGTGGTCATAAAGTGCAACCACATCACTTAGTGATGGCAATCCCTGCAGTCCTGGTTGCCGTCATTAACTGAATCCCAGGGTCATTAGGCGAGGCAACTTCCTGTCAGCTTCCCACAATCAAAGTTAGTAATGAAGCCAGCAGGAAGTTGCAAGTCCCAGGCCGTCAGGCAGGTAAGCGGCTGCTGATGGGTGGGGGAGGGAGTGACAGGGCGCGCAGGGGTGTGTGGGAGGGTCAGGAAGGATGCACGGTGGTGCGCAAAAGGCACTGCATGGGTTAGGGAGAGTGCGCAGGGGTGTGCAAGAGGCATGGGAGTGTGGGAGAGGTGTGCTGCGTGGATCAGGGAGGGTGTGCAAGAGGCCCCGCACAGGTTAGGGAGAGTGCGCAGGGCTGCGCAAGAGGCACTGGTCAGGGAGGGTGCATGGGAGTGTGCAATTGGTGCCACATGGGTTGGAGAGGTTGTGGAGAGATGTGCAAGAGGTGCTGCATGGGTCAGGGAGGGTGCACGGGGTGCACAAGAGGTGCCACACAGGTTGGGGAGGATGCTCAGGTGCGGGTTGGGGAGGGGTGCGCAGGGATGCATGAGTGGTCAGTGTGGCATGAACGCAGAGGAGCTGGGGTAGGGTGCATGGGTGGTGAAGACTTACCCCAGTGACTTGGGACCTTCCCTGCTGGTTTCCCTATCGTGTTTCTGGGGAAGCCAGCAGGGAAGGTTGCAAATGGCGATCACGTGATTATGGGGTGCTTGGCAACTGGTCAGAAGTGCAAACGGGTTGCCAAGCACCCAGATTGCAATCATGTGACCATGGGGATGCCGAGATGGCCGTAACCCCAAGGACCAGTTGTAGCCATCATTCATTCAGTATGGTTGTAGCTTTGAACAGTCGCTGAACAAATGGTCATAAATCAAGGACTACCTGTATTGGAAATTGTAGCTTAGGGGTTGGGAGAGAGTTAACAGTGGATTTCTTAGCTACTTCAGATTTCTTAAAAGGAACCAAACAGGATGCTAACTATTATCTTCTCTTACACAGTCTACATTTCTGTTTTTGTAAGTTACACTTATCCACAATAAGTTTATGCATAATTTTCTTTTTGAAAAAGTAGAGTCAGTGCATGTACATTATGAGGCATATGCTTAATTTGGAAACTGTACCTTCCTTGTGCAATGCTTAAAGCATTTTCTATCCTTTTCAGATAGTGGAGGGAATGAAACAACAAAAATGGAGTATTGAAAACATTGCCTTTGGCTCAGGAGGAGCTCTGCTGCAGAAATTAACTAGAGATCTCTTGAACTGCTCCTTCAAATGCAGTTATGTGGTTACCAACGGCCTTGGGGTATGTTCTCTAAATGTAATTTTTACTTTAGAGAAAAACAGGAATAAACTGAGGTCAGTGCGTATGAACTCATTTTGAATTTGGTTTCTAGGTAAACGTCTTTAAAGATCCTGTAGCTGATCCTAACAAACGTTCAAAGAAAGGAAGATTGTCTTTACACAGAACCCCAAACGGAGACTTTGTTACCCTAGAAGAAGGCAAAGGGGATCTAGAAGAATATGGACAGGTATATTAAATGCTTAAATTTCTCTTGCAGTCTTAGGGGAATGGGTATAAATAACTTGTTTTGGTATTTTAGAATAGAAGCGCAAACATGCTTGCATTCTCCACTAATCCTAAACTAGCACATCAGTGGAAACATGATTTGGCACCTAGAGAATAGAAAAGCAATTCACAGTTTTCAGTAGTTTCTGCCTTTTAATATTTAGTTATATTTCTTTTGTATACAAAAAGAGACAAAAAGATGCAAGAACATACCTGTGTCCTACACTAATAAAAAATAGCATAACTTATGTATTGAATTATTAACTTTTTTCCAGTTAACCATCAGGGATAAACAGTAAAACAATTTCTAAATAGTCTTCCAATCAAGAACCTAGCAATAAAATAACTTGTTCAAAAATGAAAAGATAGGTAACGCTCTTCAGATTGTTGTAGAATTGATAAAGATATGTATCCTTCCACTTAAAGTGACAGGATTTTTGTAATTGTAAAAGTACCAGAAAAATACTTCATGCTAAGACCAACTGCTGCTTTGTTTCAAATCCTCTTGTTATAACATGCTTTATCCTTTATAATATTTATATTATATTATATAGATTCATATATCTCCTTTATAACATGCTGTATATTTTGCTTTATACCACCCAACCCAGTTCACGGAAGATAATGCTCTCAGTGGCCATTAGCCAAATTAATAATCTCTGGTGACAAAGGTGATGCACGTTTTGCTCGTAAGCATCCTGTAGACATCTGAATGAGTGCTATGGGGATAGAATAATAGTTAGACTGATCAAATATTACTCTTGTAGCCTTACATTTTGTATTCAGAAGACTTGTGGTCCAATCTCTAGGATTTCCAGGAAAAGGTGCTTTCTGGCTACTGTGGATGTTATTAAGTTATACCAACCAATGATCTGCCTCTGCTTTTAGATGCAGAGAGTAATACGTGTGTGCAGGCTGTTACATACAGTGCATTAATTTATTTGTTTAAAATATTTCTAAACTGCCCCATATCTCACATCTCAGTCAGTAGATGGGTCCTACAGCAGCTATTAAAACTAACCTTAACTGGCAAACTGAAATGTGTTAAAGTCACATTCAGGAGACTTGCATAACTAGCTACGCCATAACCTGTTTCTTAAAGTAGGTCAGTGTTGGTGCCTGCGAAACTTCTGAAGAGAAAGCCATAATTGGAGTGGCATAGTTGCTGTGGCATATATATTTGCTAGCAGTAAGATAAGAAGCTGCAGAACTCCACAGCAGATCAACCAAGGAAATAATAGGAGGGTTATTCCATCAAATAACCTCGGTCTCGAAGTGTTCTGGCTTTAGATGTCTTCACCAACACCTTCAATTCTCAACACACACAAATCAGCAGATACAGTAACGTAGTTTTGTAAATTAAAGGACCATTATTTTGGGAGTAATAAGCTGCTCTCTGTGGTGAAGTTCCCATATAGAGCAAACCTATCCAAACCATAACTCACCTTAGAGTCTGTAGCAGTCTGTTTAAGTCACTTCATTTTGGGGGTAGACACTGTATTACTTTTACTAAAGCTGCCACAAATGGTGTTCCTTTGCAGGATCTCCTTCATACAGTGTTTAAGAATGGAGTAGTAACGAAGACATACTCGTTTGACGAAATAAGAGAAAATGCCAAGTTGAAGACGAGTGAATTTTCCATGGCATCTCACTAAAGTTTCATTCCATGTTGGTATATGTGCAACAATTATGTACTGATAATGGTTTCTTGTAGAGATCTGTGTGTTTGTGTTTGCCACATTCTAGCCAAATTATTTGTTGGTTTATGGACATCAGTGCCCTAATTTTTTTTTTAATCTTTTATTTTGGCCAGTCTGAAATTGAAATATTTACAGCTGAAAACATGGTCCGCGTAATACTAGGGTTCTTTGCTAGTAGTGATTCAATCTGGTACGGATCTCAATGAGACAGTGATGAGATGTTTTATAAATAAATAAATATATATATAGATATATATATATATAGTAGCATATCACAAAACAGATTTACCTAATAGTATCATCCCTTTATGTTTATAATTAACTTGTATTTTTGTACAAATAAGATTGTGTAAAATATATTTAAAGTTTCAATAATTCCGTCTTTCCAACTTTTCATGATTTTTATGAGCACAGACTTTCAAGGAAATAACTGGGGGTGGGAAAACTCAATGCCTTTTTGTCCATTGATCAGCAAATAAAACATGGCCTTAAGTTTTATTGTGAAAATTGTACTGTTTGAAAGTTTTAATCAGGATAGCTCTCTCAGAACTCAGAGAACAGACTGGGTTGTTCTGCCATCGAAAGCGAAACTTCTGTATCCTCCAAAATGGGGTGATACAGGACTTCTATAAATGCATCCCTTTGTTTGAGAGCAGGAGAATGAAATGCCAAATATTGAATAACTTCTTGCTGCAACAAATATTGCCAAGTTCACCTCACTCTTCAAAGAGCGAGGCTGCAGTCTTAATGCACGCCTAGATAGGTATAACATCCAGTTGAAATCAGTGGGTTTTATTCCAATCAACTTGCATGGCAACTGACAGTAAAGCTCAGAAATTTCCTTCCAACCCGAACAGATAAGTGTAAAATAGTGACAGGTGTGCAAATGGTTATATTATTCGGATTTTATTTTTCCATATATTGTAACAAACTACAAAACAAAATACTGAACTGAATAGTGCACTTTTTAACTTTTTTTGTATTTTAGTCTTCGGTTTTGCTTTTTTGTCAGATTGGATGTTAAATTGTATAGATGTCTTAAATATTTTTTTGTTAAATAATTCTAATAAAACATCATTCTAGCCAAACTCTTTTTACACTGATAGCTTTCCCTAAAAAAGAGAACACTATGCAGAGGTTAAGTATTTCAAAAAAATTAATGCAATGAATGAGACTTTTTTCATGACTGCCCTTGAATAATTTTCTACACATGCTCTGAAGTGCTGAGTTAAGAACAAATTTGTTAATGTTAAGGCACGCTGTATTAAATTCTCAGGTGTATAGCCATACGTAGGGATGGTTATTGGAAAAAGGACTGACCAGTCTTTGAGGTGGCAATAAGTGTTGATTTGAGGGCTATGATTTTTTATCACTGTATAACTGGAATTTATATTAAGTTTAAACAATTATCTGGAAAACAGTTCAGAAGAGCTCTTAACGAAATAAATTAAAGCAAGAGAATGTGCTTTTAAACATGTTTGGAAAGCCATATTTTAATGTTCTGCTCTGAAATATATTGAATTGCCAGAGATGTTAGGACAATGATGCCCAATCTTAATCATTTATTTTGCTTAATAAGGTTTTGCATATTGTGTGTGCTTAAACATGCGATGGATGTATTGTTATTTGATTAGTTTTCTAAGCAGTGAGTTGCATGCCCAGAAATAAACATACTTAAATAAACATACTTAAATACTTACTTAAACATACCCATCAGACTGTTCCGTTAGGGTTATGCAGTGTTGTGTTACACACAGAAAGGAGTAGGAAATAGCCAAATAATTTTAAAGCGTGAGGAAATAAAAGGAAGTAGAGCTATATCTAACTTATATCAGCCCCTTTCACTATAACTTTTCACCCTTCCTTCCACCTTGTCCATGCCACCACTTCATTCAGTGTCTTCACCTCTGATGATCTCAACAACGCCATTCAACCATGGCTTTCTCAGGGCTCCCTTCCTCACAGTTCCTTCATGTATTTGTATTGTAGTTTGATCCTTGCTCATTATCTGTATATGACCAAATCACTTCAACATACTTTTTTCATATTAGTCATTCACTTTTATATTCAATCTGCATTCATTCAACGCCAATTCATTCTTGACCTATTTCTTCTGGTTTTACTGTACACACAAGTACTGCACTCTCATTGCATGAAACTTTGTATTTCTCCTGACAGGCCTAACTCTGACTTCCATAAAATGAAGTGGGTAGAACTATGCTCTTAGATACATTTTCTTTCTTTCAACAAACATTTTTCAAAGCAAACCACTATTTCTACCTTTCTATCAGCATTTGCACATCCTAAAATTTCTCCATCAGTTTTTCTGTCTTTGGTATATGTTCTACCAACGTACATAAATTCATCTATTTGCTATAGTTTTGTCACTTTTTATGCTACCTTGCAATTTTATTTCATTTTCCCTGCCAAACACACCTACTTTGGTCTTCGATACATTAATTTTCAGATCCATGTTCTTTTAAGCTGAATTCTGCCAAATAACTTTCCCAGGCATGTTTATGAACCTCCCTGTACTTTTTGCATACCTTTCCCCTTGTATAAGGAAACAATAATGGTGTTCTTCCAGTCAGGCATGGATGCTGTCTTCATTTTGCACATTAAGCAAGTCCCACAACCATTCTGTAAGCAGCCATATAGATTAAATATATAAGTAGCTTCTTTGGTACCTGAACAGTTCTCTAGTTACACCATCTACACCTGTAGCTTACAATTTTTCAACATCCTCAGAGCATTTAAGACTTCCATTTCATCTGTTTTTATCCTTGGGCATCTAGTGAGGAAATTCATTTTAAATCCTATGCATATCCATACAGAAATCAAAAGAACTTCTTCCAGCATTCACTGGCTTCTGTTTCATCCCAAATCATTTTGTTACGTCTATTTTTAATTCCATTCACGTTGTTGGAGGCATCTCATTTTTGCAGCAAATCGTATTCCTATAGGCATTTGTTTTACTGATCCACAACTCTTTTCACTTAATTCCACCAGGCATCCTTTTTCATACTTCCTATTATAACTCTATGCTTTTGTGGCACTCTGTAACGTAATTCTTCTCACTCTCATTCAGGCATTTTCTGAATCCTTTTTTTTTTTCACACCCACTTTTCCTTCATTCTGTTGCAAGAATAATTAGTCTTCTATTACTTTTTCATGCAGGACTCATTTTTTCTCCTGCAATTCTTCTACTATCACTGCTTTCTTTCATGTACTTCTTTTTCCCCGAGGTCCACTACTAAATCACTGTTCATCCCACATTCAGAACCCTTCATCACTTTCATATTCTTCAGTAACTCAGATTTTCTTCAAAAACAATTAAATCAGTGATCTTTTTAATTCATTACTTTTCCATAAGAATACTCGTTTGCCTAAATCTTGTTTTTGAAACGTTCTAAGCAAATATTCCTTTTACCATTCTCATTCTTCTTAGGTCTTTTTCTGTATTTGCTCATCTTGATCCCACCCAACTATTTATGTCACCTACCAGATTTGTTTTCCTCTTAAATCACAGTCATTCAGAACATTGCATGGTTTTTCCTAAAATCCATCACCGGTTCTTCTATTTTTACCATTTTCTGGAGCATATGCAGCTATTTCTTGCCTATGGATTCATACTTTCATACACATCCACAACAACCCAAGAAACCCCATTTCACACTGTCTGATAAACACCTTCACTTCCCTGCATGTATTCAAATCCACACAGTCATCCTTCATATCTATTATATACTCAAAACTTACATTTTTGTATTTGGCTTTGGAAAGGCACTCTTAAAACACAATGAATTTTCTTCATGTATATTTGGAGTTTATATAATTAATGTGTGTGTGTGTGTGTAAATTATTCTCTAATATACTTAGTTGTAGGGATGTGAAGGTTCAGATTAAAAAATAAGATTTTTTCTGGAGGAAACAAACGTTTTGTCCTTTGCCTATCCCTCTTCATTTTTAAGTGAGCTTTGTATCTGTTGAGGGGAAGAGTTCCCAGGGATTCCTATACCTGCTAAACAGTATTGAGCTCTTACCACCAAATTTAATGTGAAGATGATTGGCATCTGGAAATATGAAGCACTTTGATTTCAAATGCAACTTTACTGTACAGTATAGAGTTTGAACCGAATTCTTCCATACACACAAACTGTTTGGGTTTATCTTTAAACAATTAGGTTTGTAAAAACTGATTTTTAAGCTCCTTTTTCATTTTAGTATAGATGTCTTTAGGACTGGCAATGGGGAGATTTTTTGTGTTTCCTCTAAAAATAATTTATTTGTAACCTATATTTAAGGTAAGAATTTTTTATGATTTTTTTTCTGAGAGGAATGATTATGATATAGGTAATGAATCTTTTGATAAAGAGAATCAACACTGGGAAGGTCTAAATGTATTTATTGTCTGCCAAAAAATCTAACCATAAATAGAACTTCCTCTAGTTTTACATTCCTTCTTAGCCAAGTGAGTATTCTTCACCTAGATTCTGTGTTGAAGTAGTCATCATGTACTGGCATCATGTAATAAATGTGGAAATAAAGTTTTAGTTCCAGGAGTGAAACTTAAAGCTATTTGACTTTATTTTAGATATGGGTTGATAGACAAGCTTATGACTTCTATATCCATTATGAAACCTCTTCTAATCCAGAGGGGGGGAATGCTGTAACCAGGAAATGGCCAAACTCTGTGCTCTTCTTAGGGTTTGGAGAGGCTGTATACTCTAGGCCAGTGGTTCTCAACCTTGGCAACTTGAAGATGGGTGGACTTCAACTCCCAGAATTCCCCAGCCAGCAAGACTGGCTGGAGAATTCTGGAAATTGAAGTCCACACATCTTAAAGTTGCTAAGGTTGAGAAACACTGCTTTAGACACTACTCTGGAGTCTGGAAATATATTCACCTGGAGCCTGATCTTCTCTTGAACAGTGAAGCACAATAATGGTTGAATTCAAGTGATTTGAGATTCCCTGTAGATCTGCTGAACAGTCATACCAGCAGCCCTCCGCTGTCTTTCTGGAAGGCACATGAAATAATACTATAAATGTATATTAATACTCTGAGCAACCGCTTTTAATTCTTGTCACTAGTCTTAAGAGTAAAAATAGGTAAGGTCCCTAAAGATCTCTCAGAATTTCCCTGTGTCATCCTGTATGCCAACTGGCCTTATTCCAGTGTACAGTTCTTAGACTTGTTAAAAAGATGTGACTACATTCCATACCTGATGACCTTTGGAAACCAACAGCAGAATATGCAAGCATTTCACTAAAAATACTGTAGATTTCTTCTATGTTCATGTTAGTGCTTTGTAGAGCACCAATCCTGATTGTCTATTTGAGTTTTAGTTCATGTGATAGCCTGTATTCCTCTTGCTTTTATGCTGTGAACTCAGTACAGATATTCCTGAGCAGATATCAGCAAGCTTACAGATAAGGCAATGTGCATTGTACATAATACTTTTGTCTAGTTGCCTCACATTTTCTCACAAGTAGAATTTAAAGCACTGTATTTAATGCTGAAGGACTGAATGGTAGAATGGCTGAGATTGCCTTTGTAAAATTAAAAATGCAGGGGCTTATTTGTGTTTGTACTGTGGCCTTCAATCCTTGGTCAAAACTACATTCCATGTGATAAATCAAGCCAACTCAAATTTTAAATTATTTTGAATAGATCTGAGCTTCAGTAGAATTAATAATCTTTGGGTCTTCCACCATGGTAGCATAACGACTGGTTAGACCTCCAGAGTAGAAGAAGCTAAATGAATTGTGAAACTGGTCTCTAAATGTCAGGGCTGATTAGCAATAAGCTACACACCTTTCCTTACTGGTTTTGAGAATTCACTAGCCATTTTTCACAAGATGATTTTGCTTTAAAGGAGCTAGGTTTTTGGGAAGATATATCATTCTTATTGCTTAATATCACAACACTACAAACACTGCCAAGTTTTCTGGCAAATGGCAACTGCTTTAAAGGTTTAAGGAATATTTGCTGGAATCCTGACTTTCTTCCATTGATTAAATGTTTGTGTTTCTAGTGGAAAGAAATGGATCGAAGGAAAAGGATGTTCAACTAAAGGAATTATTTGGCAACTTTTTCTTTACTACTAGTAAGTTGCTTTGTAATGTAAAAGTTCTACCAGATACAGTATAGGATGAAAATGAAGTTACTGACTCCACTTGGCCTCTTCTGATTACTTGATAGCCCCTTAAGCTAGAACACTCTTTTGGCTTCATTCTTCCCTATATTTTTAGCAATTGCTCTATGAGCTCACATGGCTATTTTTGGCAAAAAATACCAAGTGAGAAAGGCATATTTATAGCATCATGTTTGTCTTGGGTACTGGATTTTGTGAGAAGTGCTCTTATGAATAATATACTATTTCATTGACCAACTAGAGACCACTGTAACTATAGAACAGACTTCTTAATTGTCCTGAGATAATTGGAGATCAGATACCAGCAAAAAGATAAATGAAAGAGTGCTATTTCTTACCTAGTTCCTTAGCCAAGAAATCTGTAACTAATTTAACAACATATGCCCCTTTTTATTAATAGTTTGAGTGTTTAATGGGTTGGTGAATATAATTGAAAAAGCTATATATTGTTATTCTTGTAATATGCTTAGGTTCTAGTGTGTAAAGGAGAAATCTGGGTTCAAGAATATAACATTCAATTGAGCTCTCTACAGATTGGCAAAGTTATGTTGACCTTTTTTTGGTATTACTCTTTTAAATTGTAAGAGTTCTAATGCCAAAACTCTCTAGGAATTTAACTCCCAGATAAGCTCTCCCATTTGATCTAGTAGAAACTTGTCTAAGACACTTATCTAAAAGTCCAAAAATAGAATACTTGCTTTCTGATGGCAGCTTGGTTGAATATTATAAAATGAAATATAACGGTGTCCCACTGGATATCATGTCAGCATCCAGACATATTAACATTTCTGTTAAAATGGCTTTATTCAAAATGTTTTTTCCTAACCAACACTATTTTAAATGAAAAGGTGATTTATAAGTGGACATTTTAGAGATATATGAATGACTTATAACCTGATTTATTTATTAATCTGGGATACTGCAGGTGCTTTCAGCTAAAGCTGACTTCCCTTTTTAATGAAAAAGGGAATGTGACTTTCTGAAGAATCAGTCTTTTTCATTTTACCTGAAGTCTAGGTGCTAATATTCTAATATTTAGGTTCTAACATTTTAATGAAAGCTGTTCTTGAGACCATGAGTTCTAGTCCTGACTTAGGCATGAAGCGGGTAACCTTGGAGCAGTCCTTCTTTCTCAGCCCTAGGAAGAAGGCAGTAGTGACTAGTGACTTCTGAAAATCTCGCCAAGAAAACTGCTTGGACATGTTCAGATAGTCGCCAGGAGTCAAGACTGACTTGAGGTCACGCATGCAAAAAATGTAATGCTCTAATATCAAGTGGATGCCCTTGCTGAGGCTTCCTGCTACAGGGATTCACTGCCTTTGAGGGAAACTGGATGAATGATGTTGGCAGACAGGCAAGCAGCAGGGAATGGTAGTTGCCAGCCCCTTACCACTCTCTTTCCCACACCATAACTAACCTACTAAAATGCTTGCTCGCTTGTACTTAGTACTGATGGCCTAATTCTCACAATTAGCAGATGGGAATGTTCTTTTCTGGTTTTGATACTGTACATGGGGGAAGGCTCACATAATTGAATAATCCACCCTATTCCCCCTTTCTTCATAAATATCCCCCCTTTTCTCTATAACATAAAGAATTACCTGAAATCTTGTGTTCTAGTACAAGGATTTGTATATTTTTAAAGGAAAGCTTTCCTTTATGGAACCTTTTGCCTGCATTCTGAAGTAATCTGTGAGAAATTATTTTCATCTATGGTTTTATATGTATATATTATATATACATATACGATGTGTGTGTGTACACACACACATACATGCATAATAAACATGTATATACCATAGTATCATCTTGAGAATACAGGTAGTCCCCGGATTAAGAATGCCTGGTTTACAGAGGACCCATTGTTAAGAACAGAGCCTATTGTAGCAAAATTCAAGGTAAATACACAATGATTCGAGTTAAATACACAATGGTTTGAGTTAATTACACAATATTAC